TCTTTTATACTAAATACAAACCTGATATTTTCAATTTGTATGTGCCACATAACATCAATTTCACCTTTTAATATTCAATGAAACAAAGTAAACACAAGAAAAAAATGTATAAAAATAATTCCAAGAAAAAAAACAAATATTATCAAAACGTACAAAGCAAAAAAAAAAACAAAGGAACAGAAGCGGCAAGGACGAAAATTACCCAAAAAACTTGGTCAATTTCAGTCATTATTATTTTTTCTTTTCCGCTTTTATTAAAATTTTTGTTTTTGCTGGATTCTATTCCACCATTTCGTCATTCTCTTTGCCCACCATAATAACACAACATTTTCCCGCTATTTCTCCTTTTAACAATTTTTCCGACGCTTTTGTTTATTCACACAAAAAAAAAAAAATTTTTTCTTTTATGTTTTAGTTTTTGTTTTCTTTTCTTTTTTTGATTCCTTTTTATATTTTGTTTATTTTTTCTCAATTTCCCATTGAACCATTTGGTATATCTTTGACCAAAATTATTTTCTATATGCATGTACTCAATCCTTGTTCACAGTTATTATTGAATTTATACAATAACTGTTAGTATGTATATTTATTTAATTTATCAGTAAATATAAATATATAGAATGTTTTTTTTTTTAAATAAGGATACAGGATGGAAGTATTACAATGTACCATAAAGTAGTATTATCGATAAAGCATAATTAAAAAATGAAAATTTCAAAAAGGATTTTGAGAGCAATAAGAGTTTTTCTGATATTGGAAAAATATTTTTCAATAAAAACAAAACAAATCCACTTCAAATTTCATTAAACTTGCAAAGATTGTAGACTACTTACACTTTTGAAAATAATTTTGACGAAATAAAGAGCAGAAAAAAAAATCCTTTTGTATGCAAAAACGAATTTATTTGAACTCATCGGACCGAAAATTATTAAAAATTGTAAATTTCTTTTATATTCGCAATTTTAAATAATTTTCCAATAGAAGTTCAAATTAATGACCAAATTATTTTGATATTCAACTTTTGAAATACTGCCCTGATTAGTATATCAGGCATATCTCATATTAAATTATCCAGAACAGTGTTTGAAGCGTTAATCAACCAGTAATAGCGTTAAGCTACAAAAATTAAGGCTTAAAATAAATATAGCCGTATTTCACTTAGTTTTTTCGGGCAAATTTTGATCCCATTTAATACAGACTTGCTATATTCAATCAAAAAGAACATTGTGCTACTTTACATGACTTTCATCCTGTATTTAAATATAAATTTTTAATAGTTATGTAAATTTAAATTTGCATTATTTTTTTTTTCATTCTTTTTGATTTTATTTCATTTTTTATTCTATTAGACAGCAGCCCACCACAAAAGCCACTTGTTTTAAACCAAAAAGGCTATAAATTTCATAAAAATTTTTGGCAAAATTGATATCGAATCGGGAACCAACAAGAACAAAAAAAAAAATAGCCAAATTTAATATTAACGGCAATAAAAATAAAAATATTTTTAAAGTTTGCATATACATAGGAAAAAATTGCATTTACGAACTTTCATGTAAATATAAGACATCATTCAATTTAGAGCTTACATATTATATTGCACATAACGTACACGTATACAAATTTCTCTATAAATTACAAGATTTTTTTTTATAATTGCATTTTTTAACATTACATAAAAATATGTGTAGTTATACCCGAAATATAACTTTAGTCCCAGCCATTTACAATTTTTTTTTGTGTGTTTTTTTTATATTAAATAGTTTATTTTATTATTTTTATACTGTAATATTAAAAGGAGAAAAAAATAAAAAACATCGAATGAGGCAAACTGCTTTTCGTACTAGAACATTTTCCTAAAAACACTCTCAAAATATTAAAACTAGTATTTTTCGTGGATGACCGATATTTTACTAAATATTATCAAATTATTCTCTTATACTCTTAAACGCTATTGTATAAAAGTGGGCGCGTAAAAATAGTATACTGATATTTAACAATTGAACTGCTCTGCCACTCATCATTTGTAAAACACCATTAAATGAAATTTTGATAATTTTAAGTCCCAGGAAGAAGAGAAAATTGTTTCTATTCACATATAAAAAATCCATTTCTTATTTCCTGTACAAACTCTTTAAATTACAAATTTTCCCTAAAGATGCCGGGCATGATTTATAAAATGCCAAAATTCGAATACATCTTGACATTCTCGTTTCTGGAGGTCAAAATATTTTTATTTCTCACAACATTATTCAAGATTTGTATTCTTAAATTGTTGTAACTAGAAAGGCAAGAAAACTTAGGGCGCAGGTTAAAAATTTTAAAACGATTGTAAATGTGCAGTTTAATAATTGCCAAACAAGCAAATTAAAAGTATATTTAGCACATTTTTTCAAATTTTTTTTCGAAAAAAAAAATAACCTAAATTGTACAATCAGTGTGCCTTTTCTGTAAAATTTATTTGAAGTTTTTTATGTTGAAAAATAAAAAAGAAAATTATCAAAATAAATAAAATAAATGAAAAAAAAATCCAAAATTTACAAACGATAAATTGAACATATTGAAATTTTCTCTTTACATACATAAAGTAAGGGCTCTTCTATAAAAAAAAAAAAAACGTTAACGAAATGCATACATACGTGTGTTGAGAGTGCATTTAATATTATAAAAATAAAAATTGAGGACAAATAACATTATATAAGAACAATTTACTTAACACTATATTTATTCATTCGTATCGTTGTTTCTTTTGCTTTTGCATAATACGAGCCAAAAAAAAAACACTAAAGAAAAATCAATTGAGGAATAAAGAGCATCTGGTATAGGCAAACTTATGTACATAAGGATTTGTAAATAAAACTGATACTTTTTTGGAATATTAAATTGATATTGTACATTATAGCTATGTATATAACAAAATGTTTAAAATTTTCAGATTAATTCTTTTTGCTTTGAGTAATATGGTTGACATGGAACCAGATCAATGCGATTGCCGAATTTTCAAAAGCCATTGAAATCAGTCTCAAAAAATATAACATTCATGATTGCCTAGTATTATTCTAAAGCTTCTCAAAATTTACTTACAACAGGTTCGATGGTGAAAATTTGTAAGTTCACATACAGTCAAATAATAAATAATTTACAGAATTCTTCTTTTAGCTTAGAATCTTTTAATATCACATAAGAACAGGGCCGATTTTTACAAAATTTAAGTCGATTGACACTATAAATCAATCAATTTCTACAAATTACTGACTTATATTTAAAAATATTGCTAAATTATTAATCCGATTCTTAAAATTTAGTTGATTAATAAAAAAAACGCCAGTTTCTATCTGTAACATTAGATAATTCGAAATCTTGTTAGAATGCTTAGAATACTTAGAAGATTTTTAACTATTTACTTAGATATTAACTCAATCTACCTTTACAGTTTTAAAAGTTTAAAAATTAAATTTAAATTATTTAATATATTAAGGTTTCTTCTTTCATAACGAGGCACAGACAATTAAGTCATGGAAATTTTAATATAATTTTGCATATATTTTTTATATTGCAATTGTAATTTGTCATATTAAAAGTTCGAATTGTTTCATGTGTTCAATGACTAAACTTCATGTGTACTAAATCATAAATTTCAATTTAACAAATTTTCAAATGATTTTGTTAATCTTGATAAAATCGAAATTACAATATTGTTAAATAATAAAACAGCTGAAATTAAATTTTATGAACAATTTAACAATTAATATAATTGAATATTTTTTATTTATTTTTAATTAATTAAAAAATTATTTCGGTACAACAAAGAGTACCAAAAAACCAAAGGGGATAAGCAAAAAATTTAAATTTAAAAAAAAACCAACAACTCCAATAAAAACAAGCTAAATTATTTTCGTTAATGAAAACGTTCAATTATTTTACTTCTATTTCGGATTAAAGAACTCATTATTGGCTTCTTATTCAATACTTTGAGATTCGGATCTTTACTCAACTAGAATCTTATCTTAATTTTGTGGCAAGTTCAGTTACAAGTTATTCCTATATTATAAAAATATAATTAAAAATTTTTTTTTTTTGGATTATTTAATAATCCAAAAAAAAATATTTTTAATTGCTCTGAGGAAAAGTGAACATTTTATAAAATGACAAATTGGAAAGAAATCCTCAATAGAAGAATTTAATTGTAAAGAACCGACAATTTTCTAATAGTACCATTTTTTGAATCAAATCAAATTGGAACCGATTGTACTCATCGTACACTTTAATATATGAATATCGCTGTTTCTATATTATATACCACTTATATTGTCCTAGTATATGAAGCGACGGTGATAATCCCATTATAACGGAATTATATTTCTTCACTTGTAACACCATTTTCAATTTTCATAAGACTTCCTCTAATCGCATTATTAAGCCCCTTTTTGTTAATTTTAAGTGGTTTGTATTATTGATGCATTATTATTGCATGTTACTTAATATTGCAAGCGTCTAAATAATTTTTAGGCACTCATAATGAACATTAATGGCATTTTCTAAATTCAACCAAATCCCTTCTGTAATAGCAATTCTTTTCAAAAATTTTAGCTCAATAGCATTACAAATTAACATTAGATTGAAAATTTTTGTAATGTCTTCCTAAAATAAAAAGTTAAGCTTCAATCGCAATTTTTTTATGTCATTGATATAATGACATAAAAAAATTGCGATTCAAGCTAACGATGCAGCGGCGTCAGCAACGGCGTCCCTGATTTGAACCAACGATACAGTCATAACTTTCATATTTGATGTTTGGAATAATAATTGATACCATATGACATTATTTTAAATGAAAATTGTTTTTAAGAATATTAAATTTTTATTTATTAAATTATAAATATTTAATAAAATAATATATATGAATAAATAAAAAATTCTTGTATATGATAAGATCAATTATGTAAAATTATGTATAACAATTTATTTTTATATTTACTTATTAATTATATTCTATTACTTACCATCAAGTTAACTTTAGTTAATTGCTACCATCGACATCTATATATGCTAAGATGTATTAATGTAAATGTGTCTTACTTAATAACATTAATTATTTTCACCCATTTAAATTATTTTCATATTAATAAAAAATATTATTTTTTTTTTTTGTAATATTGTTATAATTATTATTGTAAATATTATATTTTTTTTTTTCTTTTTAAATTTATTAAATTATAATAACCAATTTTAATGGTTAAATGTCAGTTTAATTAATTTTATTTTTTAACAACAAATGAAAAAAAATTTATTATAATTATAAATTATTGCTTTATAATATGTGTTCTTAAAATAAAATTTAATTAATTCTTGTACTTATTGGATATTATATATAGAGTACATAAAAAATGTATATATATATACATACAAACAATTTATATTTGTTATATTGCGTGTATTAATAGTTTTTTTCTTGTTTTAATTTAATTTAATTTTATCTAGGCACGTATATATATAGGATAACAGTTAATAATAATAGTATAATGTAATATTTTTTTAATAAATTTAAATAACATATATGTGTGTGTGTGATGCCATACATAAATCATATAGTATTTATAGTTTATGACAATGTTTTAATATTTTTATCTAGTAGTAATTATTAAATAAAAAATTTCCTGTTTCACCCCCCCGTCCCACTCTTTGTCATTTTAATTAATTTTACCAATAATTATTATATAATATAATGTTCGGAATATATTTTAATATATATAATTTATATAAGTTTGTATAATAAATAATTATTCAGTAATAAATTACGAAAAACAAAAAAAAATATAACAAAAAGGTATAAAATACTTATACTCATTTTTTTTAATGTTTTTAATGTTTTTAATACATTTTTATTATTTAAAAGTGTGTATATAAAAAATATTCCGCAAATTTATTTTAATTATATTATTATACCTAGGTGCTGTTAATATTAATAGTAACCAATAATGATTTAAAAAAAAAAAAACAATTACAAAGGCAATATAATATTTCTTTTTTATTAATTTAATAAACCGATAAAGTGTAAATGAAACAGCAATATTTTAATTTTATATATAACAATATTGGTGATAATAGCGTAATAATTCAATTTTTTTTTATATAAAAATGTGTATATGATTATGATATAACAAATATAATGAATTTAATTTTTATTCATTTTAATTATATTATATTAATTGTTCATCTACATACGTATATGTATATGCGTGAAAATACGCATTATACATACAAACAATTTCGTATATGTATAGATGTATTAATATTATTTTATATTAATTTAATTTTTTTAATTTATTATTATTACTATTGTTCATTTCTTCTTTATTTTTTAAATGAAAACATCTGTGCGCCCCTTTTTTATGTGTGTTTAATAGCTAAGTGTATAGCTTTACCATGATATTATTATGGTTGTATATGCGAATTAAAATAAATTAGTTTTATTTCTTGTTGTTTTTTATATTTCTCATTTTCAATATATATGTATATATAACATATAATTTTTTTATTTATTTTTATTTAATTTATATATTGATTATTTCAATAAATATTTTTATATGTCCTTTTATAAAATTATCATTGTCGCATAATAATATTTAATTGAATATTATTTAATAATATCTATTAATGTTATATTGCAAAAAAAAGCAATAATAAAGAAAAAAAATTAATAATTTACACCCACTGATACCACCCACATCCACACCCTCTTTTTTTTTTGGCAAAAAATGTAATAAGTATAAGTTTTTTTGGTTGTATATAGCAGAAGAAGAATACAGTGATAAATGAAAATTTAGCACACCAAAATTTATACTTGTATATATACGGATATACTATATAATGTGATATAATTTATAAATATATTTTTTATATAAATATATAAAGACAATATTGTTATTATTATTTATATAAGATAATAATGATTTTCGAAAAATTTTTCTCATTTTTAATTTCACTAATTTTTTTTTATAGCTGTGAGTCTCTATTATGCAGTTCTTAATTTAAGTGAATTTATATATACACACTTATGACGTATTTCTATAAATGTATATGCTATTCATATATATACTAGTTATATATAGTATACATTTAAATCTTAAAAATACTTGTATGATGCGCGTATAGATTAATTTTATGAGAAAAATTATTTTAAAAAAAGTTTTCTTAAGTTTTTAGTTTTTTTTTTTTTGCCAAATAGTTCTTTAAACATTTAAATTAGAATTATTCTTTATTAATAATTTATTATTAATTTTATATTATTTAATAGTTTTTTTTTTTCTGTGATTGTTTTAAGGACGTTGTTAATGTGAATAACTTAACATTTACATAGTAAATGTATAATAATTTATACAAGTTATTTGATAATAAAATAATCAGTGGGCGTTATTGTTCAATGAACTGGACGTTGACCGTTTTTCTTTTTATTTAGATATTTAAATATTATTAAATTTTAATTAATTATTAAAATAAATTATTAAGATAAATTAAAGTTTTTTTTTTTTTGTTTTATATAATATTTTATTATATATACTATTTAACTATTAATTATTATTGTTATATAAATTATTATCAATGATGTTAACTTAATTTTACGATAAGAAGAAATCAAATATTATTATAAGCATACAATTAAAATAAAATTAATTAGAATAATTAATTTTGAGAAATTATTATATAAATTATATAGTTTAAATCAAGAAAATTAATTTTAATTTTTTTTTATTGGAATTTTTAATTACACTTAAATATAAAGTTAATCTTAAACCCAATATATTTAATTAATTTAACATTAATATCAAATAAAAGTTTATTAATTTTATTATATTGTTTTTCATTAAAAAAAAATGTTTGTTTCAAATTGGACGGCGGCACTACATTGTACACGCACATTTATAATTAATAATTTCTGTTTTTAATAATGTTTTCTTTTGTGTGTATACACTTTAACACACTCAGGAAAAAATTTAATTGAATATTTAATTATTACAAAAATATTTTCTGTTTTTTTTTTTTTTTTGTTTTTTTGATCGACTTTGAATTATAAAAAAGCACGTACACAATGATAATTATGATAATTATTAATTATTTTATAATAATTAATTAATTAACACTTAAACTTATTATAAATTGAAATTAATAAAATTATACACAAAAATTTTGAGAAAAAATAAATTCAAATACTTAATTTTTAAAGGTTATATAATTATATTTTTAATTTTATTATTATATTATTGGAAGGATATTACTTTTGACGGTGCGATGATCATTTTAATTAAAAAATTAAAAAAATAAATCTTAAAAATATTTCAATTAAATTGTTTTTTTTTTTTTGTAATTTTTATAATTTTATTAAAAATTAATTAAAATTAAATTTTACAAATTATTAATTAAAATTGTCTGTTCGTTAAAAAAAAAAAAAATTTAATTAGAAAAAAAAAACACAAATTAATGTGTTTTAATTTATAAAAAAAATTAAGCGTTTTTTTTTTTTATTTTTTTTTTCAAAATAATTTTGGATTTTTTTTTTTTTTTTTGCAAAAATAAACAAATTAAATAGACAAATTACTTTTTAATAAATTCAAAGGACGCAACACACACTGGGCGGCCAAAGATCCGACTTTGAACGAATAATGAACGTGTTTAGCGCTTTTATACCAGCCGAATAAAAAGTATAGAAAAAAAAATTTATATCAGAACACAAACAAAAAAAAAAACACACACAAAATTTGTACACACAAAAAGAAAATACATTTCGTCCTTTTTTTTCATTTCCATCTGCAAAACAAAAAAAAAAAACAAAATTCAAAAATAAAAGCGCAAAAAAAGGATATTGTTGTGTTGTTCTCAGCAGCATCAGTAAAATGCAATCCAAGTGGGGATATAATATTTATTTTTTTTCTGATTTTGTTATTTTTCTACTTGTTGTTGTTATTATTTTTATTCTTTCCTTATTCTTATTATTTTTCTTTTCTATTTTTGTTTTCTTGTTCATTTTATATTTTGTTTTTTTTTTCAATTTTTGTTCTGTTATATTTTAATTTTAGCATATAGCAAAGAAAAAAAAAAATGAACGAACAAAAAAGAGATACTTGTTTTGGTGGCAAGAAGCAAAACGCAACTATACAACAAAATATAAATGTTCATATAATATATTTATATATGTTTATAGACAACAGAAAAACATACAAAATAAGAAAGGAAGAAAATCAAATATAGAAAATATAGAAAAACAAAAAGTCCTTACACAAACTATGAAAAATATTAAAAGCTTACAGAACCATTGAAGTATAATTTTTTCCTTTTTTATTATTTCTTATTTTTCCTTCTTGTTTCTTTTGAAAATAATGAATTTACAACACAAAAAAATTAAAAGAGCAAAACAGAAAATTACAAATTAAATGCAAAAATATCAAAATCAGAAAAAATTGAATCCTTAACATTAGAAATAAATTAAGAATTCGCATACATTTTGGGACAAAATAATTTCCTTATAGTACATTGATTTTCTTATTTCTCCATAACATAATATTCCTTTAATTTGAAAAGATGCAATTGAATTAGGTGTAGTAAAAAAGTAGAATTAAATTTACAAAAAAAAAAAAAAAATAAATCCGGAAAATAGAATAAACAATATTACAAATTCAAAATCAAACTCAGAATTGAGAAATCTCTGCAATATTTTTGCAGAAATTTTACGTACAAATAATATTAAACGTCATAATATGTCTGTAAATGTTTTTAATAATGCATTTTTCTTCGTTAAATGATCGCAGAACATATATGTATGCATAATTACATGTATGTATTGCGAACGCACCACAAATATTTGATATGATTTTCAGATTCTACTTTTAATGAAGAATCATTACGGCACAGTGTAATTCAGTCTTTTCAATTTTAATCATAAAAATTTTGTGGTACTATTTTGAGAATATAATCAACACCAAATATAAATATTATCGAGTTTGGATATTTGGATCGTATCGAAATTAATCAATTATTATGCTACAAAATGGAAATTACAAATTAATTTTAAAATGCATGTGTTGAAGTTTATTAAATTGTCATTTATATTTCATAATTTTTCTCACCCATTTCTAATATAATACATAG